TATATATATATATATATATATGGGCTGCCACTACTGAGAAAAAAAAACCCAACCCTCATGCCCAAAACCCAGTTTATCTCCCTTTGTTAACATAGACTTAAGGGATTTACACTTAGGTGTGAATAAACACCAACACAAGTACAGAAGAGCTCATTTCCTGGGTAAAATTCATCCTGCCCCAATTAGACAGTAGCCAGGTGAATCACTTCCTAGAAGTGCTTGTATGATTGGCCAAGATACAGACAGGTATGCTGCAAGCTAGGTGTTAACTCCTACCCACCAGTCTCCCGGTGCAGTTAGTGGAAAGAAGACTCAATTAGCTTTCAAGCTTGCCCTGTAGAGGTGTCAGCCAAACTCACCATGTCTGATTCAGTCTGTTGAGGCCAGGCACTGCATTTTTATGACTTACCATGCCTGCATTAAGTACCTATTTTAGTCATGCAAAATCCAGACATGTATGAAGTCACAGGAGGTCAAAACCTAATCACATTAAAATCAATATCCATTCAGTTCTGCATGATCTGAACAAAGAGCACAGATTATGTTCCTAAAAAGGAACTGACTATGCAGGTGCCAATCTGGAAGGAAAATGAGTAACAGCTCCTGGAAGCAAATAAAGTGTACACGTGAGATCAGTGATACTAGATGACTTAATTTTGAAACTGAGTGGATACTCAGTAGATACACCTATGCAGGATGGTGGGTGTACTTCATGACTTACGGTAATATAGCACACTTTTTCTAAGTCACATTTGCATGCTGTGTAAAAGAAATCAGGTACATACACAGGCACACATACACAGAGCTGAGATAGAAATTATTTTTCTAATGTATGTTCAAAGACCCTCCAATGGGTGTTCTGTTTTAATACAACATAAGCTGAACTGGGGGAGGATTTCATTATAAGCTGTAGAAAGCATGTGTTAAAATATAATGGCATTCAGATCAAAAAAATGGCCAAATGAATATCTGTAGCAACATGGCATCATCTATTCTTCTCTTGGCAACAGTCATAGAAAAAGTCCTTGCTAAATCAGCCACACTATTAATTCTCAGTTTCCTCTTTATCTTCTGCCAGTGAAAGCAAAATTGATAAATATATATTTCTGTGAGCAATATCTTATACATTTCTGTAATGCAAATGACATTTCATATTTCTGTGACTTCAGTAACAGAGGCATCATGAACTTTTTTCCAACAAATTCTTCAAAATTCTCTAATGCCCTAGCAGAGAAGCAGTGTCGCAGCTCAGGTCCTACCACCAGCAGATGGCATTCATTCCCTGCAATTCCTCCAGTGGCAGCAGCAGCAGCAGCAGGTACTGAACACTGTGCTTGCACCACATCAGTGTAATCATAGAATCATAGAATCATTTAGGTTGGAAAAAACCTTTAAGATCATCAAGTCCAACCATCGACCTAACCCTGCCAAGTCCACCGTGAAACCCTGTCCCTAAGCACCTAATCTATCCTTCTTTTAAATACCTCCAGGGATGGGGACTCGACAACTTTCTTGGGCAGCCCGTTCCAGAGCCTGACAACCCTTTCTGTGAATAAATTTTTCCTAATGTCTAACCTAAACCTGCCCTGGTGCAACTTCAGACCATTTCCCCTCGTCCTATCCCCCGTTACCAGGGAGAAGAGACCAACACCCACCTCACTACAACCTCCTGTCAGGCAGTTGCAGAGGGCGATCAGGTCTCCCCTCAGCCTCCTCTTCTCCAGGCTGAACAACCCCAGTTCCCTCAGCCACTCCTCATCAGACTTGTGCTCCTGACCCCTCACCAGCTTTGTTGCCCTTCTTTGGACATGCTCCAGCAAGGCAATGTCTTTCTTGTAGTGAGGGGCCCAAAACTGAACACAGTATTCGAGGTGTGGCCTCACCAGTGCTGAGTACAGGGGCACGATCACTTTCCTACTCCTGCTGGCCACACTATTCCTGACACAAGCCAGGATGCCATTGGCCTTCTTGGCCACCTGGGCACACTGCTGGCCCATATTCAGCCGGCTGCCAACCAGTACTCCCAGGTCCTTTTCTGCCATGCAGCTTTCCAGCCACAATATGTGGGTAATGTAATATTTGGGATCATGCGAGCAGCAGATAGTTAACCCTAATTTATTTTCCCATCATTTGACAAAATGCTCCTTTCAGAGCATTATTATACTCTTTTCCATCATTTAAGAAAGAGCTCATACAGAAGCACCATATAGAGATAGATTTCCTACGAGAGCAGCAGGATTTTATATTCACTTTACACGCTGGTATAGGTACTGCCCAGTGCAAGCCTGTCTGTCTGGCCCAGTATTTTCTTTAACAGCAGCTTTCCATGAATAACTGATGGAAGAACCTGACCTTCCTTCCCAGTTCAATAGCACCTTTATTCTGCTGTTCTTCATGTTCATAAACACTCTGCTAAGGTAATAAAACTATCAGTTCAAATATATGTAATAATAATTTTAAACCATTTTATGGCTCAAAATACATACGGTGAATGGAAAGTTAATACTGGATTCAAACAAGCTTTTTTTTTCCTCAAACAAAACGGAGCTTTACCACCATGAGGGTACAGACTGAGGGCATCTTGGTAATTAAGCTACACCATGTTGTTCCGCCAGCCCTAAGACCCTGATATGCAAGATATGCTGGGGTGCAGGGCCAAACGCGCAGCTGCCCTGACTGCCGGCACCCTTCGCCCACTGACCTGCTGAGTGGGAGAGGGAGGGGGGGCTCACTGTAATGGCATCCTCACTGTTACGACAAGAATTTTATAGGCAAAGAAAATTGAGCAGGCAAGTGGACATACAAAGATAGCCCCATGAAGAAAAACAAAAAGAAAGAGCAAGCAATCTCATTTCCATTGAGAAAATAAACAAAATGCAATGCACAATGGTATCTCATCTGGAGTTTCAGTACAGTGCTTACAGTGACATTAAAAGCAGGTATTACCTGTTCTAAGAGATTCTGAAGCCTCTCTATTTCACAGTCTATTACAAATTTCTTTTCTTGCCTTCGGTCCAGGTCTTCTAAAAGCCGCCTGTAGCTGGCATCATTAAAATTCTCCACGCAGATGGCACTGACTTGCCAGCTATTTTGTCCTGCTTTTTCCATAATAGCTTGAAGTATTGAATAACCTAAAAGAAAAGGATACAATACGCTAGTAACACAATCATCGCATTTTTTGAATAGGAATTGTCCTTAATCACTACTATGTCTCTTAATATCTGCTCCTGCAGGGAAAGGAATAAGAGACTGTTTGTATCCCTACCTGTGCTGCTAGCCATGATCAGCGCACAGTATGCAATTAATGAAAATGACAAGTGCTGTGATCAGAATCCTTGGAATGATTCTCAGCATTATGGATAATCTTCCTATGATTTATACACACAAAATTTTCCAGTCAAGTGTTCAGTTTCTCAGATTGGTTTTGTACAGGTTTCTATATCCGGGCATTTCATGACACATCAGAGAAAAAATCTGAACCTTCTGATTCACCAGAAGTATTTGTGTACTACAAAAGCAGGGTGTTAGACATTCAAATGTTTTGCTTTTTTTGTTGTTGGGGTTTTTTTGTCAACATTTAATCCACGCAGTTTTTAATGCTTCTTAATAAGAATTAATTTTTTCATCTATTTATACATATATATATATGCCAGTACAGATGTGTGAATAGAAATGATATTGACCTATTTCAGAGATTTCAGAGATCCTATACGGCTTTAATCAACATATGCAAAGTGATTAGAGGTCAATGAATGAAGGGCACCATAGAAGCATTCATTATTGCTACTGGCAGGATTACTGTTCTTTATAATTTTCTATATTTGATGCTCCCTTTGTCACCTTTGAGCCCGTTCACAGCAGGGAAAGGCAGTCCCCTCTGAGGTCCCCACCTGAACCCACAGGGCAGGCTCCCTGCCTGCAGTCTCAGTGCACCCTGGTCCACCAGCCCTTCGTCTCCTTCCCTCTCCTAAATTTTTCTTACTGGGGACGTGCAGAACAGAGGTAGGAGAGGAGCTTGTGACATATCTTAGGACAGCTTGCAAGTCTAGCCTTGACTTGTCTAATCAATTCCTGAAGCAGGAAGCATCTTTTATGTAGAGTAAATGGTGAATTTGTCTACAGGAATGAAGACTGCATACTTCAGATCCAGAGTTAATGTTTAAGAAAGACAAAAAGGACAGATAAATTTGTCAATAACATACTGCTGCAAATGACACAATTCAAAGAAGGTCTCCCTGTCTAGAACACAACACAAAATATTGTGGCTTTTTACTCATTATCTGGCTGATTTTTCTCCACTAGCTTTAAATGAAAGATTTCACCTCTTGAAAACTATCCTTAGTGTTGTGGCCACACAGTGGTGGCTCCTTTCTCTCTCTCTTCAACAAGAAGGTCCCATGCCTGAGTGCAGTGATCCCCAGATGTCGTTTTAATGCACTTCAAGATGCCACTGCATGACAGATTCCCCATAAAAACCACTATGAGACCTTCCCACAGATTGCAAGAGGAATCTTTGTAAGCTACACTTCAGAAAGAGTGCTTCTGAGTGCGTTCTTGCTAACTAATTATCAAAAGACCTACAAAACCACCAAAACCTGAGTTTGCCTCCAGTAAAATAAAAGCAGAAAATAGTCTTATCAGAATATGAAGATTTTAGGACACATGAGAAACTAATTCTCTTGCAAATTTCAGAGTAGCTATTTTTCAACTGGCTCCTATGACATTTGCAGTCCTATTAACTTAAAATCTGAATCTTCTTATCATGATGACACTATGTACCTGCACTCTGAAAGGAACGTTTATTAGTTTTTTCCTCCAATTCAGATCACATATCTAAGATATAAATACAAACATTTATAATGAACACATAAAATGCATAACATTTTATTGTATAAATGAGATTTATTTTATGAAGCAGTATTTTAGCTTAGGAAATGAATGCAAATACTTGATGTATTGAGTATTAAAACATTTCTGTACTCAGCATATATTTTTAACCTGATGACTGTTATTTTTTTCAAAGAACCGTACAGCTTTCCTGTTAATTGCTGCATAATTATTCTGCTTTTCCTGTTGCTATATTCAATCTCCTTTTTGCCCGTAATTATCTCTGCAAATCATGACGAGTTTCTTTCCCAAACATTGTATTTCTTGCTTCATTTCCTATTCATTTCCATATATAGACATACATTAAAACTACTCCAATGTTACAGGGGCTTCTGATTCATTTACACTGTAACTTTGACTTGATCTTTGCTACAAAGGCAGTCAACATTTACTTAATTCAGCTTCCTGACACAAATTAACATTTTCTTTTATTCAGAATGAATGGTGTTTGAAGCAGCAATTGACATCCCCTCATTCCTTTCTTATTTCACTTGGACAACTTTACTAAGATGTGTTTTGATCAAAACGGGAATTTATCCCAGTATAGAGCATGACAAATATCAGACAAACACATAGAAAAGCTTTTCTTCTACCTTGGATCAAGGTTTGACTTGCCACATTTCATTAGCAACTGCCTTCATTTAGGCAATTGGAGCTTCTGTAGCTTCTTGTCAGTAGCTGGCACTCAGATGTGGGTTTTCATGTTAGCCTGTCTTCCACACACAGCATAAGGGAGCTAAATGGTAGCAACTTGATATGGTGCAACATCTCCATCAGAAGAGTTCAGAATCCCTGTGCAGGTAATCAGTGGCAGTCATCTATTCAGTGTGCAGGAACAATTTTTAATATAACAGACTAAGGGTGGAGTTTATGCAGAATTAATAAAGGCATTCACAGGCTCAGTTGGCATAAAAATTAGACATGCTGAGGAGAATGCTTATTTGTCCAAAATAATTGGTTACAGCTAACAGGGAAATTATTTGTAGGCAGTGCTGCAAACATTTTATAAGACAAAAAACCTGGAACTAACATGGGGTAATTCTCAGAAACTGAGTGCTGCTTCTCTATTTAGACAAAATTCTTAAACTTCGGAAAGATGTTTGCCCAAGTAAAGACAGCAGGCATGAATCTTACAGTTGATGTCTAAAAGGCTTTTAATTTCTAGTTATCTGCTGTTTATCCTCAGTTATGCTAGAGACAGATGAATGATTCATTTTCTGGAACACATTCCGTCCCATGCATTGTGGAATATCATTTGTTGCCTGAAAGCAAACTAAAAAACCCCAGGCTAACTCATATCAGCTGAGCTACACAATCAATGTTTTTCAAAACAACATTATTTAAGAAAATGTTTAGGACTATGCCAATAAACAGAAGTAAGGTAAGTTCTCACGAGTCTACATAGTAACTCTTCCCCATCAACTAATTTAATCATCCCAAAGTTTGTTTTGTTTGGTTTTGTTTTTCAATTAACAAGTCTATGAGCAAGGTAAAACCCCAATACAACTGTCTGGAAACATAGATGAAGTCCTTTCCAAACGCAAGGACACGATATGCAAGAATGGCTGCCAACTGCTTTTTGTATGTCATTGCTCAATGTAGATACTACTGACAACTGCTTAAGGACCAGTAATACCAATTCCACCTCAATATACTGGAACCAAGTCAGAGACAAGAAAAGTCTACAAAGATTTTGTTTTCTTGATCCCTTCTCTCCTTGCTTTTCTGTTCTCTAGTTGGGTGGAATTGTGATGATGTAACGTACTGCTATTTTTTTTCCCAAAAGATACCACACAGTTATCATGTTGGGAAAAAAAACAAACCACAAACATGAAAATGAAGAGTTACTCTATTCTTTTCCTGTAAAAGCAGAGCTGGATATGCCCACTGCAGAAAATCTATGTATTGGAATTGATACTACAGCTGAATACCTTACAAAAAAAATCTAAGGTGTTTTTTTTTTTTTTTTATCCCCACTTCCCTCTTTCCACACTCCATAGGCATTTTTCCATTGCAAAATGCATCAGCCACCAAAAAAAAAATGCCAGATGCACACTTGGTCTTGTATCTGTTTATAGAAATTAGTACTTCTTCAGAGAGACTTTGATATCTTCTGGAGGCCAAAGGGTGTAAAACACTTGAGCAATTTTGGTATTTAAGAACACATTGTAAGTGCAGGAGTTTGGGAGTCCGGGATTCCTCCTAGTCACTGCAACGTTGCTGTAACTGGAGCCTATACACCACCCTCCACTCAAGTAGCTGAAATCATGAGTGATCTTTTTGATTTTAAAAGTTAGTGGCCTTTCAGGTTTGTTTTTTTTTATTATTATTATTATTCTGCTGTATCAGCTAGGCTTTCCCCTATTCAATTTCATTTCAGCAGTCAATGACTTAATTTCATTTATTTCCATTTAAATGAAAAGTAAAATCTGATATCTAAATCTCTTCAGTGTGTTCAGAATAAACTAAAGAGATCAGAGGCGCATTTTCTTGACTTATTTTTCTGCTGGAATGCACATGGTTGGCTTGTTTCCTTTTCTTTCTTTCCTTTTTTTTTCCTTTTTCTTCTTGCTTGCTTGCTTTCACCAGAAATATTTCAGTAATCAATTACAGTGTAATAATTAAATTTCAATAACTTTCATCTTCCAGCAGCATTTTCATTCTGGGAAACTGCTTCCCCCGCCCCTCTAAGTGCATGCAATCATTCCTGATGGTCTTGCCAGGAGACAGATAGCAAAGTGGCTGCTTGCTCCAAACAGTAGCACCCCCAGTAATATTTCCTATTTTGGAACTGTTGTGCAGGAAATAACTTACTAATTTTCTATGATGGAAATGTTTGCATATTATTACTGTATTTTACTCTGGCTAGCAGACTAACAATACTGAATCACGCAAGTTAACAGGTTAATATATTTGGAAACAGCATATACAATATATTTCTGTTACAGCCCTGGGAGTAGAAAACATCCCTGACAAATAAGGGTCTTTTCCAAAGATGGGCATCATATACTGCACGTTACTGAAATGCAAATTAATTTTCTTCTCTTTCTGGTCCAATTAATTTTCAACGAGGAATTGATCCCATTCCCAAGATTAGCTATGATCCCAACAGCCACAGACACTGAAATTCTGGTGTTATTTTGTGAAAGCTACTTCCATCTATTGGAATTTGTATTAGTATCAGTAGAAGAAATAAATTTGTTATAAATCCAACACACAGCAGAAGTAAAGAATAAATGATCAA